CTTTTTAAATGAAAAAAATATATATATTCTGACTGAACTGATACCTAACAGATAGTCTGAGTGAGGCCAACAACAAGGTGGATAACAGTAATTTTCATATCATTTCATGAGAACACTATTTTGTAYGCCTTATTAACTGAAAAAACTTGTGCGATACTCCAGCCTAAAGTGTCTCAGGCTGCACCAGAGTCTAACACAGTCACTGTATAAAAAAGGCAATTATAACACAGCAAAAAAAGGGAACTAATGTAAAAAAAATTCACAAGAAGGTGTGCCACCACCATGCATGTTCTAAGACAGGGGTGTCAAACTCCAGTCCTCGAGGGCCGCTATCCTGCATGTTTTAGAGGTTTTCCAGCTCCAACACACCTGATTCAGTGATTGAATTAACTCTTCAAATTGGGCAGAAGCCTGTTAATCACCCAGCGATCAAAATCAGGTGTGTTGGAGCAAGAAAACCTCTAAAACATGCAGGATAGCGGCCCTCGAGGACAGGAGTTTGACACCCCTGTTCTAAGACAATGCATAAAGTGTTGCTATCTGTTAGCATTGTTCCAGTATTGTCACTGAGCAGCACAGCAACACAACACCTACCTATTGACACAGGGTTAGACTCATATCACATCACCATGAATAAAGATGAGTCGCTATTCAGTCTGGCTGAAGGGATACAAGCAACAATATCCATCGCTGACTGTGGTGACCAGTAAACAAATCTGCATTCATGCAACAGGTTTCTCCTCAGAAGGAGCTTTCAGCACAGGAGGAACATCACAACTGTCTGTCTCTCCCTGAAACATGACGAATCCCCCAGGTTGAGAAGCTATAGTTGCTGTAGGTTGGCTCAGTGCCCAAAAATAAATGTGTTACATTGCTTTATAAAATTTTGTTGACGTTCTATGATTTACTTATGAAACCTAACCAATCGTAGCACAGGCCTGGCAGTAATCGATTTTGGTCATGGTCCTGCCAGGGTGAGCTATTAACTCATCAATCCAGTCAGAATTAAATCTTTTTTTCTCAAGCTGATGCTGTTCATAGCTCTATCTTTGACAGATGGACCACCCAATTAAAGAAAGGCAGGTTAAATCTACATCAGCTACAGAAAACCTTTGTTTGAGGTTGCTGTTGCTGAGCACATTTTGAGAAGAAATTATTTTTTTCAATCAGAACTTTGCCTGTTTTAACATAAAATCATATATTATACAGTATTCTTCTTGCTTGTTTTTTTTTTTTGACAAACAAAAATCAGATCATAAATTTGAAGATGAGGCTGCATAGAAAACAAATCAGTGTTAACAAACCAAATATAGAAGAAAAAAATCCTATTGTGGAGTAATAAAACGTCTCTGGGTGTTTCACACAGTGTAAGAATCCTGGACTTGTTGGACGGGGATAGTTTAATCACTAAAGTGACTGATCGCACAGTGTAAGGTCAGCCTTTCTACACAGATGCTATCAGACTCGCTGAGAGTTACAAGGCTGACAATCACCTTTTTTTGTGTGCAACAGATAACAGGTTGGAGGAACCTGCCTGACTGTGTTTTGGGAGAAGCAGAGTAAACACGTACCTGCTTGGACGGCTGCGGTGGGTTTCCAATCCCCACTCCTGGTGAGAAAGGAGAGGAAAGAAAAAAAAGAGAGAGAGACAAGAAAATCAGTACTTCAGCAGACAGCCTGTATTTTTGTTCTTGTGAAAGATGGTCAGGTGCGTTCTTTAGCGTCAATAATTTCATGCTTCCACTCGTGTCTCCGTTTGAACCCCTAATAAATCATGAAAACTCACTGATTTCAGAGAGTGGAGATAAGTAGATGCTCCATGTGTGGAATTAGCAATAAACGTTGGTAACTAAGCCTTTGACCAATAAATAAAAAGGCTCGCACAAAACAAAACAGACACAAATCGAAAGCACAGAAGTCAATAAAAAAAGAAAATGAAAAGCTGCAATTAGCTGAACAGAAGGAGGAAGGAGAACAGGAAAGATGCAGTTTGTTTAATCTTTCGGGGACAGCACGGGGATGATGGAGACGTACAGAGTGGTTTTGTGGCAGCCTCGGGGACAGGTGGGATGTGTATTGGCAGATGTGCGGCAGCAGAACCAACGATGCGTTTAGTGGTCCGTCTCCAGCTGGACATTTCCCCCTTTCCTAAGGTGTCCCCCCCCGTCGTGCTGATGTGTAATCAGGCTGACAGCTCTGAGTGGGGCTGCATGGCTGCTGATGTGGGGGGGAGAGAAGACACCTCTGCTTGAGTGGGTTGTCACTTCCAATTTGAGGGTGGAAAGGATAACCTGCAATGGGGTGGGTTTGGGAAAAAGGTTGGGGTGGGAGGGGGGGTGCATCAGTTGGTGTGAGCTACAATTCTCCCCGAGTGATGAGATGTGCAGAGCCCTAACTCACTCTGGAACACGCCTTGGTGGGGAGGGAATAAAACATGCCTCCCTGATTCAGTGTTGTCTCAGATTAGTATGCACTGGAGCTTTCTGCTCCTGTGTGGCTCTGTGTGTTGAATCTTTGTCTTCATTCTTCTGAACGAGATGCTGGGGGCGGAGGGGGGTTCAGAGGATGGGGGGGGACGGGAGGAGGGGTGGTCTAAGTCCATGGCCTGTGACATTTTCTGATCTTGTTTGGATGCTGGCGCATTATTTAATCTCCTAACCCTAATGATAGCACATGTAGGATGTGCGCCTTTGATTTTAATTTACATTGCCACACATGGAAACCATGAATATTTATCACAGCACACAGAGACACCACAGCCAGGAAAAACACATCAGGGAGCAGCCATAAAAACGCTCCTTTGTGAACCAATGGAGCAGCTCGGGACCTTTCTAACCCTGAGCAACTTTTCAAGAACCACAATTGGTTATTGATCGTGAAAACCCCATCAAAGTGGCAATTGAAATCTCTAAAGGTTTAATTGTTTCCTTCTAAGAGGTGTGGCGTCTGACTATTTTTTTGTTAAATCATCCGCGGCAGAAAACATTTTTGCCTCTGTGAGTGTGTTTGTTAAATGTGAATTTTGTATTGATTAACAGAATTTTTTTTATAGAATTCTCAGAAACAACCGCTTAACTTTTGGAGTCAACCCAATCAAAGATGTCTGCCACAGCTAATCATCCTTACCAAACGCAGAAATTAACCTCATTCCTTCAGTTTTACAGATACGATGCTAATTTTTAGGATGGTCGTAGCTGAGAGTCCTCCCCAACACACAGTGAAAGTCATCGGATCAAGTGAGATCTTGAAATATTTATTGTAATTGTTAGAAATCTTGTTAGATTTGACCAAAAGGATGCTTGGCTTCACATTCAAAGAGTAATTGAGAAACTGATTAAAGAATTAAAAGAACTGAAGGAGCAAGTTTTCCTACAAATTTAAAAATAAAAAATGAAGTCTATTAGTCTTTGAGTCAAATTTCTTGGTGTCTTAATTTTGTTCTAATGAACATTTCAAAGAAATGACATTTGATACATTTTCAGCCACTCTTTGTGTAAAAGTAAAAACTTGGGGAAAAGGAAAATATTAGAAAAAAATGTCTGGGAAGCTCTTTGAACTGAACTGCACACCTGAACAGAGCTGAACTGTTCATACTTTGTCACTAAAGTGTCTTGTTGAAGTTGGTATGAAAAGAAATCTGACAAAGTTTCATTTGATAAAAAACCAACCAACCAACCAACCAAACAAACAAACAAACAAACAAAAAACCCCACAAAGCTTAAAATCAGCTCCAAATCGAGCGTGAATTCTGGCTCTGAAGAAGCAATTTTCTCCGAAGTCGAGAGCAAAAATTACATTTCATGGAAAGACCATTTTCCATGACAGAGTTTAAATGAAACAAGTAATATAACTATGTAAACTGAATTTCAGGGGGGATTTGTAAACATCATTTGTCTCTGTAGTATCCACTTGGTCGAGGATAATAGTTTCAGCTTGATTGCAATTTTACACTCACTCATTTCTACTCAGTGAAACTATGCTATTGATTTTCACTGCTGTAAAGAAACAGTGATAAACTGTTTAAAGGGAAACTTCATCGGGAGAGTTATGAAGAATTTTGTGCAGTAAGTTCACATAGAGTTATGAAGAATTTGTTCTTGATTATCTAAAATCAGATCCATTGTTTACATTTCGGTTAATAAGTTAGGAAGTCTCCAGATTTGTCATTGGGAGTTGAAGCACTTACAATGAATTAAATCTATTACAAAAATCCACATAAGTTGGAGCTGGATTAAATAAGATGGCCACTATTAATCTTTTTCTCAACACTTAAGAAACTTCAGTCCACTCATTTTGCTGATGACTGAAGCTGATTGAAAGGCTGTTGAAAGTGTTTGAGTTTTGTCCTCTGTTGCCCTCTAAAATGACCTTGAAGCAGCCACACTTGTTTTTTCCGAGACAACGCCTGTGAATATTCATGCACAGCCCAGCATCACTGAAAAGATCCACATGAGCAAAGGGCACATCATTAGCAGAGCCATTATCAGCCAAACCTCTCAAACATCCTTGTTCAGCTTTCTCGCGGAGACAAACATCAAACGTCATCTTTTTTTTTCTTTCCCCCGTCACAGCTGCCGAGGAGGAGCAAAGGACAAAAACAATGTGAAATAATGAGCTTGTTAAGTGAAGGCTTGTGACCCCGTGTTCTGGAAGAAACTTGTTAAATCCTTGTTTTTAACCAGAGACGGTCAGGAGGGAGCTGGAAACCAGACAAGGCGTGTCTTCCTCCTGCCCACCATTCAGACTAGGCAGTCGCCCCTCGCCACCATAAACCTTTCATTAGTCATTCAGCACACTGATGCACTGTGACCCAAACCAGCTGCACCCCCACTTCCTGGCGAACCACCTACTCTTACACTCTGCACAAGCAATCCTCCTCTTCTTGACTCTTTGTGGGAATACAAGTCATGGGCGTGCTCGTGTGGTTTATCAGAGGAAAAAAGCTTTTCAGAGTGAAGGTATTAAGCTTTGAGCTCCGGTCCATTGATGTTTTAAGTTGTTGTGGTAAGAGATAAAACGATGTTTAAGCTGGTGCTAAACTCCTCCAGGACTGGGGGCGGGGGGGAAGACAGAGCAGCTGCTGGAGGAGGAGGAGGAGGTGATGGAGGAGCAAACAGTGATTTGAGATTAAAGTTATACTTGAAGAGACTCTCCAAAGACTAAATGACCATCAGAACATTTGAACTATTACTGGAGGACTGGCTTGTGAAAGAAATAAGAAGTTGGCAAATTTGACTCAAAACAAATCTTTTATATTTTAACTCAGCAACTGATCTTTGGCAAAAGAGGCAAAACAAAACAAAACAAAAAATCAAAAATTAACATTTTGCCCTTAAATTCACTAAACTTATCAGATAAACTGACATTTCTTTTATAAATAGTCATCTGAACAACTAAAAAAGTATCAACACATATTACAGCCTGGAACCTGGTAAGCAGCATGTATATACACAATAAGTACATACCATGTAGTATCAGTATGTACACTGTATATACTAGTTACATACAAAGTTCATACCTACAGGACACGTACTACTTGTATTATGTACCTGGTCCTGGTACATCCTGGATACCAGGCATGAACTGGATACGTACTGAGTCTTAATACATACATACATACATACATACATACATACATGTGTGTGTGTGTGTGTGTGCGTGCGTGCATGCGTGTGTGTGTGTGTATGAACACATTACGCATCACTTCTTCACTATTCATAAACACAATTCAACCCCTGCCATAAAAAAATAAGAAATAAAAAAGTAACCCCCCCCCACCAACAAAAATCTGTGCTGCACATTTGTTTATTGTGTTAGTATGAGATTACAGAAAACAAAGTAGGGACTATCAGAGCAGTGATTCTTTTATGTAGTTCTGAAGAAATTTTGTAACTGATTAATTGAATATTAATACAGTTTAGTATTTCATACTTTCTGATCATTTCAGTCTGTAAGGTTGAAGCTGACAAACAGTTGGTGTGTGTGTTATCATGCGTTCTTTCTTTAGTCTAAACAAAATGAGTGACGTTCTGACATCTGACGTAAAAGGTAACACCTCCAAGGGTGGAACCAGGAAGAGATGTACATTATAAGCTCAATTTATTATTATAGTAAAAAGGAGTTGTCAGTGTTTTGCAGAAAGTCTGCTCAGAGCAGAGCTCTTGTCTGTTTGTTTTGGTTCAGCTGAAGGTCTTATGAGGCCTGTGTGCTGTACTGTAAATCTGACTGCAGTCAGAAGACTGAAAATAATGTTTTAAGAAAAAATCCAGCCGAATCCTGTTTTACTCAGACATACCATTTTGAACAACGCATATTTTTTCCAACAGTTCTTCTGCATTAAGTTGTTGTGATAACTGTTTGCTACTAGGCTGCTACACTTTTCAAAGTTCTTTTAAGGACAAACATGGTTGTTTTTATCTTATTTTGTAAAACAGCCTTTTATTTTAAACTAACAAGAATTTGACTTTCTTTGGTAGATTTTTTTGGCATTTACAATTTGGATGGATTTTTCTAAATGTCTTATATAAAACAAATAAATAATAACAACAACATGCTGGCATGGGTTAAACTTAACATAAATAGTCTAAGCAACATCCTGCATCAACAAACTGCATCAAGTTGAAACATAATAAACTTAACGTTTTTTCATCATCATAATAAAATGACACATAAAATGAATAATACATGCTGTTCAAGCTTTCATGTTTTAAACTGCTCTCTCCTGAAAATGTATGGAGCAGATTTAAGCAATCTGTGAATTTTAAGGCAGATTTTGAGATAAGTTTTTTTCAAGAAATAGCAGAATCGGGTGGTCAATGTCAACTTGGTTGTGAAAGTGACACTTTGCAGTTACGTCTGAATTCAGTGGTGACCTCATTTTGTTGTGAAAACTGTGGATTTAGACCTGCCTTAATGTTACGAGTATAACATTATAAGACCTATAAAAATGTTAATAAATGAGCTGACTGGCACTGAACATCTACTTTTGTTTTATTTTTGACAAGTATTTACCAGTATTTCCCTCGCTTATTGACATCAGACAACAATCTATGACAGTAACATTTTACATCACATTTTTTGCTCCACGTCTTAATAACACCACTTTAGTTTTTCTCAAGTACAGAGCAACAACAGTCTTCTATTTTATGATGGAGGATGTTTTTGGTTTTGATTTCTTTTCCTTTGCTGCATTTCCTGCTGCTCACTAATGGAGCCTAATGAAGGTCAGTAATGACTTTGTCCCTTAAAAGCAGATGAATGCAGGCACTATTACAACGACAGAATAATACATCTATAAAAGCCTGGGATGACTGAAGAAGTGAAAACTTAACATGGACATTGTGTGATGTTAGACTGATGCTAATGATAAATGTATGTATTGCTTAGTACCAATAGGAGGCATGTCTAGTTAACTGAAATCTTGAAAATAAACGTTTGAGGTGCCTCTTTCTTTAAAGGGCACTTGCAAAATCCTTTTTTATAGCCGTTAAATACATTTTAATGTGCACTTGGAGTCTCTGGGAGTGCAGAACATTTTAATTTAGTTTCTCCCGGTGCTGCAAAGATATCTTTATATTCTGTTTGGGTCATATTTTTCAAACTATTCAGTTTTCATGTTTTTTTTCCCTATTACGTTAAATTATTTGCAACGCAACTGCCATGTGGAACTGGTGTAAAATGCCTCATTTAGATTTAAAGAGACAGCTTTAAAACGAGTTGATGTGAGACACACCTCAATAAAGGGGTGAAAGAGGGGCTTGTAAAATTAAAGAAAGGAAGATCTGAGACCAAAGCATTGCAGTTCTACTTTATATAGACTCCAACTAAATGATTTAAATATGGAAAAGATGGATTTAAAAGCATCATATGTCTCCTTTAAATAAAGTATCCATATTTTATAAAGAACAGCTTAGTATGTATGCAGCAGTCTACAGATCTCCCACTTAAACTACAAACAGAGCAATTCAGCACAGGAACTCAAGGCCTGAAAGGTTTGGTGAAATGAATAAATTACGTAATGTTCATAAAGCTACATGTAGGCTCCACCTGGGCTTGTGACTCATATTCAAGGTCAGCTCTTATAGAGCTGCGTGTAAATCACCGGGGATGGGCTTTTTCATTAGTTGAAACACAAACGAAAAAAAAAGACGTTTTCTTTAACATCCCGCCACAATAAATCACCGTCCATTCCACGCACCATAAATAACACATGCTTTGGCTCATAATTGCCTGCAGAAGAGCAAAGGTTAAAGCTTACAAACAGTTCATCGGCAGTCAGCGAGATACAAAGTGAGCTCAGCAGAAGGCTGTGAAACCCTGGTGCTGAACTACCACTTCTGCACTATTTTAAGAGCACTTTGATCTAAGGCAGAACAGCTGCTCGGCTCATGTATTATCACCTGATCATCAGTTCCCTGTTTGACTTTAGAAAAAGGACAAAAAAAGAGGCTATGTTAGAGAACAGCACACTGTTGTGAAGATATGCAAATAAACAGTTTATCATTTCTAATACAGTGGTTTGCAAAAGTATTCATACCCCTTGAACTTTTCCATATTTTGTCACATTACAACCACAAACATAAATATATTTCACTGGAATTTAATGTGAAAGACCAACACAAAGTGGTATACAATTGTGAAGTGGAAGCAAAATTTTACATGAATCAAAACATTTTTTACAAATAAAAAACTGAAAAGTGCGACGTGCAAAATTATTCAGCCCCCCTGAGTCAATACTTTGTGGAGCCACCTTTTGCTGCAATTACAGCTGCAAGTCTTTTAGGGTATGTCTCCACCAGCTTTGCACATCTAGTGACTGCAATTCTTGCCCATTCCTCCTTGCAAAACAGCTCAAGCTCAGTCAGATTGGATGGAGAGCGTTTGTGAACAGCAGTTTTGAGATCTTGCCACAAATTCTCAATTGGGTTTAGGTCTGGACTTTGACTGGGCCATTCTAACACATGAATATTCTTTTTTTTAAACCACTCCATTGTAGCTTTGGCTTTATGTTTAGGGTCGTTGTCCTGCTGGAAGGTGAACCTCCGCCCCAGTCTCAAATCTTTTGCTGACTCCAACAGGTTTTCTTCCAAGATTGCCCTGTATTTGGCTCCATCCATCTTCCCATCAACTTTGACCAACTTCCCGGTCCCTGCTGAAGAGAAGCACCCCCAGAGCATGATGCTGCCACCACCATATTTGACAGTGGGGATGGTGTTTTCAGAGTGATGTGCAGTGGTCTTTCTCCGCCACACATAGCGTTTTGCATTGTGGCCAAAAAGTTCAATTTTGGTCTCGTCTGACCAAAGCACCTTCTTCCACATGTTTGCTGTGTCCTCAACATGGCTTCTGGCAAACTGCAAACGGGACTTCTTATGGTTTTCTTTTAACAATGGCTTTCTCCTTGCCACTCTTCCATAAAGACCACATTTGTGTAGTGCACGACTAATTGTTGTCCTGTGGACAGTTTCCCCCACCTGAGCTGTGGCTCTCTGCATTTCATCCAGAGTCACCATGGGCCTCTTGGCTGCCTCTCTGATCAGTGATCTAGGTGGACGGCCTTGTCTTGGCAGGTTTACTGTGGTGCCATACTCTTTCCATTTCCGGATGATGGATTGAACAGTGCTCCGTGAGATGTTCAAAGCTTGGGAAATCTTTTTATAACCTAAGCCTGCTTTAAACTTCTCCAAAACCATATTCCTAACCTGTCTGGTGTGTTCTTTGGACTTCATGATGCTGTTTGCTCCCCAATATTCTCTTAACCAACATCTGAGGCCGTCACGGAGCAGCTGTATTTGTACTGAGATTAGATTACACACAGGTGGACCCTTTTGAGTCATTAGCAGTCATCAGGCAACTTCTGAATGCAATTGGTTGCACTCAGGGAAAAGGGGGCTGAATACTTTTGCACGTCGCACTTTTCAGTTTTTTATTTGTAAAAAATGTTTTGATTCATGTAAAATTTTGCTTCCACTTCACAATTGTATACCACTTTGTGTTGGTCTTTCACATTAAATTCCAGTGAAATATATTTATGTTTGTGGTTGTAATGTGACAAAATATGGAAAAGTTCAAGGGGTATGAATACTTTTGCAAACCACTGTAGTTTGGAAACCCTTGGACCTCTAAGCTTCATCATATAGAGCTTTTAAAGTCATTTTTTATCTCCAGATGCGCCAGTTTTTGACTAATGTTCATTATAGCAATGTCTTTTTTTAAATACCAAGCCAATAAGTGACATAGCTAGATAGTTTCTTAGAGTGGATATTGCCCACTGCCTTTTTTTCCCAGAGTTTTAAACAAATAAAAGCTATAATTAAGAAATACAAAGTAACGGTCAGTTTGATCAAACCTGGAAACACAAAATTAGCTCAATGCCTGTAAACGTGATTGAAATAGAAACACTTAAACTGATACAAATCGGGCAGATTACTGTTATGACAATTCGTTTGCACAGAAGTCTGTTCTGAGTGAGTCTTACTTGGGGAACTTTCAAGGTTGAGAGATGCACAGACTTCTCAGGGCAGATTTCCATGGAAACAGAGAGTCAGAGAGCCGTGCGTGGGGTTGTGGTGGGAGGCGGCTTGTTTTAAGACCACGCAGGGA